TCACCACAACCTCCGCCTCCCAGGTTCAAGCAGTTCTCCTGCCTCAGCCTCCCGAGTAGCTGGGAGTATAGGCATGCGCCACCACGCCCGGCTAATTTTGTATTTTTAGTAGAGACAGGGTTTCTCCATGTTGGTCAGGCTGGTCTCGAACTCCCAACCTCAGGTGATCTGCCCACCTTGGCCTTCTAAAGTGTTGGCATTACAGGCGTAAGCCACCGCGCCCGGCCTGATTCCTCTCCTTAAATCTGCGTCCTGTGTACTCTGAGCACCTGGTAATCTATCATGTTCATATCTAAATCATCTCCCATTTAGCTTTTTAGATGATTATGTAACTTAATTTTGTCCTTTTTCTCCTTCTCTTTTAATATATTAAGTAGACAATACATTGATATGATTTGAATATCTCGAGTTATTCAAATATATATAGATCAGAAAACTTCCCTCCACCCTATTTTCCATTTTTCCTCTTCTCTTGTCTCCTACTGTTAATCTTTTCACACTCTTTTCATTGGAAATCTTGAATATAATTTAGGTGTTTTGTTTTTTTTTTTTTTTTGAGACGGAGTCTTGCTCTGTCGCCCACAGTGGCCGGATCTCAACTCTCTGCAAGCTCCACCTCCCGGGTTTACGCCATTCTCCTGTCTCAGCCTCCCGAGTAGCTAGGACTACAGGCACCCGCCACCTCACCCGGCTAGTTTTTTGTATTTTTTAGTAGAGATGCGGTTTCACCGTGTTAGCCAGGATGGTCTCAATCTCCTGACCTCGTGATCCGCCCGTCTTGGCCTCCCAGAGTGCTGGGATTACAGGCTTGAGCCACTGCTTCTGGCATAATTTAGTTATTTTAAGTCTAAGAGCTCCCTTATTCCTCTGGAGAGCTCCCCTTGCAACCTATTTGATAATCTTTTAAAGTCTGCATTTCATGGATTAACAGTGTATTTAATAATATTTTGATTATCTGATTATTTTAACTTTGCCTTGATAATAATTTTCAGTTTTTCAGAAGACAGATTAAGTCTTCGTATTCCAGTAGCATATTCTAAAAATGAAGACATACTCATGTGGATATCCTTGTAATAAGATATCAACTTTACCAAAGTGTTTCCTCCAGGAGCTCTAGTTGGAAAGAGAATTATAAATTTCTTTTTTCTTTTTTCTTTTTTTTTTGAGTCAGAGTCTCCTCTGTCACACAGGCTGGAGTGGAGTGGTGTGATCTCAGCTCCCTGCAACCTCTGCCTCCCACAGGTTCAAGTGATTCTCATGCCTCAGCCTCCCAAGTAGCTGGGATTATACATTTCTGTTGTGTGTATATATATATATATTTTTAGACGGAGTCTCGCTCTGCCGCCCAGGCTGGAGTGTAGTGGCACAATCTTGGCTCACTGAAAGCTCTGCCTCCTGGATTCACACCATTCTCCTGCCTCAGCCTCCCGAGTAGCTAGAACTACAGGCGCCCGCCACTACACCCGGCTAATTTTTTTGTATTTTTAGTAGAGACAGGGTTTCACCGTGTTAACCAGATGGTCTCGATAGCCTGACGTCATGATCTGCCCACCTCGGCCTCCCAAAGTGCTGGGATTACAGGCGTGAGCCACCGTACCCAGCCTTGTATTGTGTATTTTCAGATCATCCCCTAACTCCCTATGTCTTCTTTTTTAACCTGCCATTGTCAAAACCTTATTTGAGAAGATGCCAGAATATTTTTTTGAAAATATTCTGATGGCCGGGCGCGGTGGCTCACGCCTGTAATCCCTGCACTTTGGGAGGCCGAGGTGGGCGGATCACGAGGTCAGGAGATCGAGACCGTCCTGGCTAACACGGTGAAACCCCGTCTCTACTAAAATACAAAAAATTAGCCGGGCGCGGTGGTGGGCGCCTGTAGTCCCAGCTACTCGGGAGGCTGAGGCAGGAGAATGGCGCGAACCCGGGAGGCGGAGCTTGCAGTGAGCCGAGATGGTGCCACTGCACTCCAGCCTGGGCGACAGAGTGAAGACTCCGCCTCAAAAAAAAAAAAAAAAAAAAAAAAAAATATTCTGGAGCTATTATGGAATGTTAAGTACAATCCTGTTGTACTTAAGTTTCTCTCTGAAAAGTTTACTCTGAAAACTATTGGTTTCTCTGAAAGTCAATTTATCATGATGCTTCTTAAGTGACTACTAAAATTTTACTGGAGTGTCTTTGAAGTTTCATCTGTTAATATGACTTTGTAACAATAAATAGGATTACTGTTAAAAGTAACTATTGGCCTGCTGTGGTGGCTGACACCTGTAATCTCAACAGTTTGAGAAGCCTAGGCAGGAGGATTGCTTGAATCCAGGAATTCAAGACCAGCCGGGGCAATGTAGTGAGACTTTGTGTCTATTTAAAAACAGAAAAAAAAAAATGTTTTTTAAGTATCTATTGCTTATGCTCAGGGATAATCCTTAGTAGAAGGATACACAATATACTGGTAACAGTAGTTGTTTCCAAAGAGGGTAGCCAGTTGGTTGGAATCAGGTATTCTCTGAATACTTTTCTTTACCTTTTTAATTTTGTAGCGTATGTTGAGACAGGGTCTCACTCTGTCGCCCAGGCTGGAGTGCCGTAGTACGATCACGGCTCACTGCGGCATCAACCACCCAGGCTTAAGTGATTCTCCCACCTCAGCCCCATGAGTGCCTGGGACTACAGGTGCGCGCCACCCGGTCTGGCTAATTTTCATGTTTTTTTGGTAGAGATGGGGTTTCGCCATGTTGCCCAGACTGGTCTCAAAACTTCTAGGCTCAAGTGATCAACCTGCCTGAGCCTCTCAAACTACTGGGATGTGGCCCTACCTGTTTTCTTTAATTACTATGTTAGAAAAGAAATGAACAGCCTAATAGAAAAGTAGACAAAGGTCGTGAACAGACCTTTTACAAAGAAGAAATACAAGAATATAAAATATTTAAAAAGTTCAATTTTGTTAGCAATCAAAGTCACAAATTTAAAACACTATATCAAAATAGTAAATAATAACTATTAAGCAGTAAAAGGCATTTTTTCCTACTCAAAGGGTCTCCTTGTTGAGTGTAGTGAATAGGCATGCTCATACATTGCTAGTGAGCATATAAATTAGTTCAGGCATTGAGTCTGAAGAGCAATAGATTGTATGTGTCAAAAACCTTAGATTTTGCATACCCTTTAGTCCTAATGTCATGTCTCCTAATTTATCCTAGGATAATAACTGTGAATGAAAATGAAATAACATTAGTTTAGTGCTTGCTTCGGCAGCATATATACTAAGACTGGA